AGAAGGTCGACTCTTCCTTTAAAAATCACAAACAATAATAAGGTGAATAAAGACTAAACTATTAAATGTGTGTAATTTCAAAGAACGCACTTTTTTTAGACCGTCTTTTGAGCTGCAGACTCTCCCAAGAAAGAGGCGTTGATGCTTTTTCATGCATGAAGTTTTGCATGAATTCATAATCCTTCATGTTCCCTCCTTCACCCCCGAGTGTCACCGAGGAGAGAAACATGCAGAGAGGCTCATAATGAATTCATCAATTATGGAGGACGCTGACGTCGAGTTATAAAACACTCTCTGAATTTTGATCCTGGTTTTTTTAAGTATTTTGACACAGAAAACCTTCAGCTGTGCTGGTTTTATTATTATGAAATAGTTTTATATGTGGAGCACTTTATTGAAGTCTGGTGTGACGACCTTCAGTATTTATATCTCTGAATATTCTGGACCTGCTCTGACTCTGACTCTGAGTCCGTCTTCGTTTTTGTACACTTTGTTCCTCTGTGTTTCAGTCTGTGGTCTCAGGTTTGAAACATCACAGTGAACTCAGGAAATGGTTTTTGGTTCAGTTCTGACAACCTGGGACAGTTGATTTGGTTTGATTTTGCACTTTTTGGCATTTTGAGAGAATTTTGCAGCGACATAAAGGGTAGAAACATTCAAACGAGTCTTCTGGATGTCCTTACAGTAAATGAAATTCAAACAGTTTCACTTTTTCATTATTTGATATTATAACCTGCAAGATTTGAGAACTAATTTCTATCTTTGTGTCATTTAAAAGAATATTTCAACAAGCTTTTAATCACTGAATGCCAATCAGAGATGAAAAATTGAGAGCTCTATATTTGTCGTCAGCAGGTGCCCGTTTTCATCTTTTTTGCCCCTGCCCCTCAAACAGCTCAGTTACGCCCCTGGATCCAGCGTTCACTTCATCAGCAGTTTGATCTCCTTTGTTCCCCTCACACACTGCTGACCCATGGAAGTCCATGACCCCGTCACCAGTTCACTGGGTTTTCCTTCCTTGGACCACTTTTCGACCTCTGCAGAATGGGAACAAGAGCTGCGGTTTCAGAGCTGGTCTGACCCAGTTCGGTTCCTCCTCAAAGTCCTTCTACTCGCCCATTTTTCCAACTCACACATCAGCTTTGAGGACAAAATGTTCACCTGCTGACAGGCGGCATCATAAACAGGAAATTAATGCTATCCGCTTCACCTATTAGAGGTCAAAGGACGGCCTCCATGACCCTCTAGTCCATCTCTGTTTAATTTCCACTCCAAGATGGATCCAACCTTACTTATAAAAAACTGACCATACCCTAAAATGTGATTTTTATTTATTTGGGTTTTTTTTAGGTGACTTAAAAGTTCAAACGTTAATGTATCGCACAAAAAAATCCTGTTTTAGCTGCTTCTTTTTGACTCTGTCTATTTTAAGCTCTGTTTCGTTAACTAGAAGGTGTTTTTTTGTGCTGTGCTCATCTGCTCACTCGTGGATTGTATTGCTGATTTATCTCGGTGGTCATTGATATAAAAGCGTTTGAGGACACAGTGTGCGGCTGAATCAAACCCCACAGCTGAGTCCTTTCTCGCAGACTGTTACGCCCCGTTCGTGCCCCTCTGAGGAAGTTTCAGTCAAACCGATGATTTATTTATGTGGCTTTTGCCCCTAAGAAACTCTGACAATGAGCAGGTACGACAAGCCGAAGACACACACACAAAAATCCAGACTAAAACTTTATTATAAATGAGTCTGAAGGATGTCTGCGTCGTTAAATATTCTGCCGGGACATTATGTCTCTTTTTGCAGCCTTCTCTTTCTGCATATACACCTCAAATAAATGACATACTTGTGGGCGTTTCTTATGTAACTTTCTCTGCATTTGTATAAACAGGCAGTTATGATGCTGTGGTGATTAAACCGATTCATTTATGTCCTCCTCTCACAGGAGAAAAGAAGCAGTGAGTCCTTGAGTGACAAATAAAGGCTTTTGATCGTAGCGTTGATAAAAGCAGAAATGTCCTTTAGTATCTTGAGGAAAAAGTCTCAGCACAGAAGTCAGGAAGTTAAAAAGGTGTCACAAGACTATGTTACCGTTTTATTTAGTGGACACTAAGAGGAAGTCGAACAAATGCAGTTTTTGATGCAGCTGAAAGTCGAGAAAATGACCAGCAGAGTCAGATTGACACGTACAGTTTTTGGGTTGGTTTGGGACCAGACAGGCCGTTGTGTGCAGAGGTTTGAATGAGCGTGCAGGGACGGCCGCCAGTAAGGAGTTGCAGTGATTATTCTGCGTTCCAGTGACCTCGGGAATTACGCTACACCTGAGTTGACAGCGTTCCAGTTAACAAGTCAGATAACCAAGATGGACGCTTACTGTTAGCCATTGTTAGCTGTTGTTTACAATTGTCAGCTGTTGTTAGATGTTGTTAGCTATACCAGTTGTAAACAACTCATAACACAGTATTTTACTCTTACAAACACCATAGCACCGTCTTCACAGTTAGACGTTGGGCAGTACAACATAAACCACTTCTTTAATTTCACAAAAACAAAACTGAAGTGCTAATAAATAAAACATTACGAGAGCTTTTACTGTTACTCTTTACTCTTGATGCACTGTGCTGTCATCTTGGATTATGTTGTTGTCGTTGAGTCGGCGTTGGCGAGGATCGTCCGACTTTCTGAGTCGGAAATCCGACTTCAGGGGGACAGTCCAGGTCCAACTACTGAGTACAACAGGAACGCAGCAAAAATAGGGTTGGGCATCGTTTAAATTCAGTTCTGATTCCGACTCCTTGTTTTGATTTCGGTTCCAAATGATTGTCAGGATAAAAATAATCCATGTTTTAAATGAGGGCGCTAACCTGAGTTCTTCTTTTTGGGTGAAATGTCTGAACTTCTCCATGAATTTTTAAATGATACAAACTTTTTATGAACTTTAATATTAATTTTAACCAATAAATAAATATCATCTTTAGTTGTCGGGTTGTTTGTTTATGAAAAAATAACATGGGCTGACGTTAGCTGGATAGTTCAGTTGACCTGTTGTATACAGTAGCCTTTGTAGGAGCGCTGGTTTAGCTCCAAACAGAGAGGCCATAAAGTCTAAATCCATTTTTTTCTCACTTCCTCCTCCCAGTTTACTTTTTCATCCTCTGTCCTATTCTCTCCCGTTAAAAGCTCCTGTTAAAAGCACTTCTGAACATCACAGTTTTTGGCAAAGCTCTAAGATATTGACTCTTTAACTCTTTGCTTTGGGGAGATGCAGTAACTAGAAGCCTGACTGTCAGTAGGCGTTCAAAGTGCAGTATCTGGACTCCACGCAGCTGGTTCTGGGTCACGAGTCCTGCTGATTGTTTGTCTAATGAGACGGCAGCAGCAGCAGCAGCAGCAGCAGCAGCAGCTCTTTGGTCGGGGCTGAGGGGAAAACTCTTGAATATTATTCAGTTGAATATTAATAAAGTAAACATGCCCTTTTGTCAGAAAGGTCATTTCTATCACTTCACCTTTAAATTCCGGTATTTTACAACAATTGTGCACAAGCTTCGCAGTGACGGGAGTTACTGTCATTAAGTAACGTCTTTTATTTTAATGCCTTTTAAATCTTTTTATCCTTTTATGATTTATTTCTTTCATCCCTTTTCATTTGATCATTTCCATTTAATCTTTTTGACCTTTTTTGTTGCATCTTGATCCAGAGGTGGGGGCTTGACGACTCGACTCGAGACTCCACTTGGACTTGAGTCCTGTTTTTGACTTGAAAATGAAATGACTTGGACTTGATTGCTAAAGACTTAAGACTTGACTTGACTTGACTTGAGCCCAGTGACTTGAAAAGTCAAGTCTTTTCAAGTCCCTTAATACCTTACAGCAAGCCCAAACCATTTAAAAAGTGTCGCATCGACTAATAGTCAGGAATTACGGCCGTTGGTAACACCGTGTTGTGTTGCCAAGTCTGCTTATTTCCCATAAAAAAAAATCACTTGTTTTTGTCTTGTTTCTGGATGTCTGTTTCCTTATTTCTCTCATGAAACTTGGCAACACTGTCTCAAACTCTAGCCTCCCTCATAACGACAACACCAGGACGACTGAACATAAATCGCTCGCTAGTATTGCCCGCCTGTTTCCACGTGTTGCTTTGATATGACTTGTTTTTGACTTGAAAGAAACGGTAAGGACTTGGACTTGACTTGGGACTTGTCTGTGTCGACTTGGACTTGACTCGAGACTTGAGAGCAAAGACTTGAGACTCGACTTGGACTTACAACATAGGGACTTCCCCCCAACTGTGTCTTGATCGTTTCCAGACCTCTTTCTTTCAGTCTCCCCAGACTTTTACATACCCACTCAGTTTTCACTCTGTTCATCAAAACAGTCTTGGTCCACGTGTGCGACTAAAATCAGTGCTTTTATTCTGTCAGAGGACTCATCAAGCTGCGGTGATTCGTGTTTTTTAAGTGATCAAGAGAAAAAAAAGGAAACAAACCACAAAACTTTGAGTTCAGCTTCCCTTAAAGAGACAGCAGGGGGAGACAGAACGCAGATTTGCACGGCTGAGGTTCAACAGGAGATCCTCGGAGCAGCAACCTGCAGCTGGACAGATGTCTGCACGTTTGCATGCATGTTTGCGCCCCTGTGTCATCTCAATCAGAGGAAATGAAACTCCTCGACCGAGGCCTTTGTTCACTTTTCTACTTCTGTCAAAGTGGTCATTATATCAATCTAAAAACTCAATTCATGCCTGATTAGAGAATCCTCTCCTCCTAATTTGCATTTTTGTAGCACAGCCATCATGAGTGGATTCATGAATAGAGTCTAAACGCTCTGTGAATAATGTAATGATTATGGCGCCCGGACAAACTGCTCCAATGCAATGACTCTGATTAATAATAAAACGTCCCGCTCTGCTTAAAAGCAGGATGAGGGTTGGAGTTTGTGGAGGTCAGCAAAAACCGGATTTGATTTGAACTTCTAATCAGAGGGTTGGAGCGTTGTGTAATGATCAGTGAGGTGAGGCTTTGGCTTTTTGAAGAGGTCTCTCTATCTGAAGTGACCCCTCTTCTGCGTAATGAGCCATCAGCTCCCGGTCAGCCTGCAGAGAGCGGAATTTTCCACTGAGCTTGTTGTTGTCCACTTTCTCCCTCTGCCACCAACATGGCTCCCACGGACTGCCCCCCACATTTCTGCCTGATATGTCTGGCTGTTTGTTGACAGTGAGGAACAGGAGCTGACCACCAGCAGGAATGTAGAGGGGAGCGGAAAAGTACTGGGGGTTGCCAACAAATATCCCCCCGTTACACCCCCACCCAAACATCCACCCACCACCCTGACCAGTGAAGCGGTCTCCATGAGAAGTGTCCACAGGGCCGGTTATTAAAACGAATAATGAAGATTTGGCTGAAACTTAAAGACATGAAAAAGTTTAAAGTCACTTTTTTACCTGCATCATGTTTTTATCAAACATGGTTCAGGTCGACGACATTGTGAGGATTTGATTTTTATAATTAAGAAGAACTTTATTGATCCTTGACGGGAAATTCAATTTTCTGTTATCTCATTTGTAATGTCTCTAAAAGTCATCTACCATTGACAGAAGAGTTGTGATTAACCATTGATTCCAACTTTCCATGTGCTTCCCTCTGAGCTAGCTCCTTTTCTAAGTCCTGTTTAGGAGCGCGTTTGCATTATTCATGATCACAACTCATTCAGTTCCAGGGTTTCTGCAGGTTTCAACAAGTCAAATTTAAGACTTTTTAAGACTTTTTAGTACTATAATACAGGGTTCCTACACAGTTTGAATTTCCATACTTTTCCATACCCTTCTTATTAGAATTATTTTTGAAAATAACTACTTTCATTTAAGAAAATAGTATTTTATAACTGTGGTAATATAGTTTGTTAACATCAATATTTTCCTTACTTTATTTTTCATTTACCAAACTTTTAAAGACCTTTTAATTGATTAAATTACTTCCATACTTTCCATATTTGGGTAGAAACCCTGAAAAATACAGTTTAAGATCCATTTTACATCCATACTGGCAAAAAAATTACAAAAGATATGAAGAGATTCTGAACATTTTAAACTAACTTCAGGTCAATCTTTATTTGTAAGTAACATCAATACATATTTAAGACCTTTCAAATTTGTATTCAATTCAAACTATTGGACTTTAGACATTTTAAGATTTTTTAAGACTTTTTTAAGACCACAATAAATACAATTTAAAATCCATTTTAAATCTGTACTGGCAAAAAAATACAAATGATATGAAGAGAAATCGGAACATTTTAAACTAACTTTCAATCAATCTTTATTTGTAATTAACATTCATTCATTTTTAAAACCTTTCAATTTTGTATTTTAAACATTTTATAAGGTTTTAAGAGAATTTCAGACATTTTAAGGCCTTAAATTCAAATGATTGAGTTTTAGCAGAAACCTTAAGTTCACACAATCATTATTTGAGTTCCTAGACTAGAACTCTTGTCCAATCACATCCTCACGTCAACTTTACAGGTAATTCAAACACTGTTATTCTCTCACTTTTGGTAACACCACAGTGACATTTTAGCTGTTTGCCAGGAGGCTGTACGCCCGCCTCAGCTCTACCTGTCTGCCTGTTTCTGGATTGGCTGGAAATCAATTGGAGTCAGCGTTTCCAATATGGCGGCCCTCCAGTGCTGATCTATGTGGCCTCTCCAGAAACCGCCGGGTGATGCCGCTGCAGCAAAATCACTGCCTCTGACTTTCTTCATGCTGATACCAAATACAGTAACTCACAGCATACAACAGTTCCAATCCTCCACGGTTTAAATCTGCTTCTTCTTCAACTATAGTTTGCACCTTGTGTTGTAGAGTTTTTTGGTCCGAATGTGTGTTATTCTTCTAGCTGAGTTGGTCTTTTGTTGTCTTTCTCTGGATATTTGCTTTTTGTTACTGATGAATTCAAAAGGACTATCTGACAATGAGATGACAAAGTGGCTGAAGCTGTAAATGTTTCAGTGTGTTGAATCATTTTTATATAAAATCAAAATGAGTTCAGGGATTGTCCCGGTGCAAAACTAAAATATCCTATTTTATGGATATTTCCTCCACCAAAGTAAGCATGAACGAACACAGGCTCTCTCATTTTGCAGACGATGTTTGCATGTTTGTTGATACTTGGTCAACTCCCTCCATTGAAATGTGTTTAAATGATCAATATCTGAGATTTAAAATTCAGCAGGACTGGTTCTAATCTGTTTTTAAGTTTTAGGATATAAGGACTAATAAACCGTAATGCATCATGTGTCTGAAAAGTGTCTTCTCGAACTTCTAGTGGTGTCCTGTGAAATATTCGGGGCTACAAGTCTCAGAAAATTGGAGCATTTGAGTCTAAAACTGAACGTACCTCCAGCGAGTCACGAGTCAGTGTCTTTGAAATGACTCGACAACAAAGAAAAGAGGATTAACCTGGAATAACTAGAGGGTCATCCAGGGAGCCGGACTCCTTCCTCGGCCGGGGCTTTGTTTTCAAGTCTGATCCGGATCTGCTCCAAAATTAAACTGGTTCTCCTCTGTCACGAAATCAGGTAACCTTCCGTTACATAAGCTCCCGAAACAGACGAGTGAAACAGAAAACAAAACCTCTTTCGTGGAAGTAAATAAAGCTCTAAAACCCGCACATCAGAGAGCTAAATGAAAGGACATGACATTTCTTACCACGCTGTTTGATACTCATTAGACCGCTGAAAAAGCAGCAGATCCGAGCCCCACAGCAGGCACCTGAGCCCTGAGACATTTCACAAGTACCTGCTTTAAAATTCAGAGTTGTCCTTCTAGATCAAATTCAAACAGAGCCTGAGGCGAAACAAGCCAAAGTGAATCCTCCTCTGGTGTTATAAAACACAGGAGGAGGTAAAGAAACTCGTTCTCAGTATTTTCTAATAGTTCAGCGCTGAATTGTTTGAAATGCAAGTCTTTACAAATCTTTAGTTTCTCTTAAGTAAACAGCCGCAGACTACAGGGCCTCTCTGCAAATATAACTCAAGCTGAATAAGCAACCTGCTCCTACTGTACAGAATTCAATCTCTGTGGTCAAACACAAAATCATCTCCATATTTTTACATTTATTCATCGTTGTGTGTTTCTGCAGAGGGAGAACAGACTGGAGGGTTCCTGTCTGCTGCTCACACATTTCCACTGTCGCACATAGACTGTATGTATAATAGACGCTGTCTGGGTGAAGCCACCGTGAGAACAGCACCCTCTGGTGACGGTCTGCAGTATAGGTCATAAATCCCGCCTCCTCCAGCAATCCCTATGGAGCTGTGGACTTTAAATTTATTACACAGAATATAAATGTTTCTCCCCCCTGGTTGTGATGTTGACATGTAGTTACTGTCAGACTGGTTTGTGCTCAAGTCCTCTTTTTTCTGTACAGCTCCATTTTTAAAAGTTACAAGGGGGTTCATGTTTTCTATGATTGACACCTGGTGCAGCCTATGGGTGTAAGAAGATTGCAAAGCCCACCCAGGGGATACGCTGTTTAAGCCGAGCGTCATCACAGCGACTCTCTGCAACTCTCCCGCCGAATGCGTACAATGCTGTTGCACAATGTTGGTTTCAGGAAGTAGATTAAAACCCCGGAAATACTGAGAGCTTTTTAACTCCAAATACGAACCAAGTTAACCATGGTATATACAGTCTATGGTTATACTGCCAACTAGTGGCCTGGCATGCATAATGCAGCATTTTAGTCTTTTTTCCTCTTGTTTTATGGCAGTTGTCATCTCTCGTTTTGGCGCAATGCTACTCCCTTTTGCCACCTCATCTGCCGTCTCATTCCTCATCACTCCTTTACCTGCTAAACCTCCTTAATTTTTCAGATATTCTTGTCTTTTTTGTTGTTAATGGGTGGTTCTCATTTAAACAGGGTTAGTTCCTGCATTTGAAACCTTTAGTAAGTTTTAGCGTTACTCTCTCTCTCTCAGCAGAAGGCCTGTTTATTCCCTCTACTGAAGTATTTGTACATTTATAAGTGACAGGAAGAAATAACGCGTCGCTCAAAACTACATAATTTGAATAAAATAGTCTGTGATTTTTTGTCACACCTTTAATAATACCCTGAGCTGGAGGAAAATTGAATCCAGGTGTAGAAAACATTGTACAACAAGGACTAAGAATCTGGAGAGTGACATTTAAACAGAAATAATGTGACTCAGGCTGGTTTTGATATCGTCTCGCAGGGATCAGTCTGTTATCTGCTGAAGTGAGCCATGACATTTTCCGATTCAGAATTGTGACTTTCTGCTGTTTCCACATAAAGAAGACAAAGTGATAACTCTTGTTTTGATGGATGGGCTGGCCTGAGCTGACTTTATAAGGACAATCCCAACTGTACTGTTTGACCCACCCGGCGCTTATGTAATGGGAGATTTGAGGAGCACGCTGTGTTCCCTGACAAAGGCATTTCTATTCAAAACCAGAGGGTGGCGGGCTGCCAGGGAATCATTCACGGAGGGTGAGCTGTCCGGAGGTAAACAAGGAGCGCGGCCGCTCACCTCCTTTAAAAGCAGCCTGTTACCTTTAATGACTCCTAATAAGCCATCACCTCTTTATTGGATCGAAATTAACCTGAGATCAGTCTGCTGAAGGTCTTTAAGAGCAGCTCTGTTCTGGGCCGGAGCAGCTGGTCGATTGACTGGAAACACCCGCCTGTCTGATGGGCTTTTACGTAACCTGGCTGGTGTAAATGTAGAGCAGTTAGTGCACAATTTTCAGACGCACCAAGCATGATGGGATCGACTTATTTAAAAGTAAACACAAAGTACTTATGAGGATATACGCTCAGTGAAAAAAACGCCCCATTATGCACTCATTCCAACATTTATGCTCTACAAACACGTTACATAACTTCAACCCACCATATGGCCCCCTAATGTTCCCCAACACTCAAGCATGAAGATCGATGCAGATGGGTTCAGCAGTATATCACCAGGGTTTCTATTCAGCGTCTCTTTTTGAAGGGTTACATACAGCCTGACACATTTATGGAGGGCTTGTATCTCCACCTCCACTGCCTCGCCTTCACTCTACTTTAACAGGACAAACCCAAACTTCACAACACTGTTCAACTTCTGCTGCCAAAAACACCAACAGTTCTCAGAGTGTCAGATCCCAGCGGCCCAGACTTTGTCTTTCTGATTGCACTGGAGCTCAGATTGAAAATTATCTTAAAGCTGCCATATGCGATAGTCGTAAAAACATACTTTCATGTATTTTGTTCAACTTTCAACATATCCACACACATTTGAGCTCCATAGATAAGAGAGGAGTTTGATTTAGCTGCACAGAAATGCAAACAACAATCAAACCCAGTGCTGACTGGAGTCCTGGAAATATCAGAAAACTTGTATTTAGGCCAATTTTGAGATATTTTCTCATGGGGCACAGACTGTGTAGCGGTGCCCCTTATCACTTCACCTCAGTGCAGGACCTCACTAATCCTCCAAATGAGATCAGCTTCCAAAATCTGGTTAAAATACACACAGAGCTTACACCCTGATTTCAAAGTCACAGTGTTAATTTTATGCACTTAATACAGTGACACACAAAATGAACGGCCATCTTTATTTTGGTTATTTATTACAGAGGCACAAAAGTCAACAATAAACCTCTAATTCAAAGTAAAATAAATACATTTTCATGGTTTCAATCGTTCACTTCAAACCACAAAATCCAAACAATCGATGACCAACAGATAAGTGAGGACTTCTTTCTTCCTGTCCCTTAAAATCCATAAAATAACCTGAAACATCTCTGCAGATAAAGCAGATTTACTCCTCAATATGTTCATTAATTCTGACTCATTTTATGTTGTTATCATTGACTGGTTACATTTGGAGGATTTCATGAGACTGCACAGTTTTGACGAAGAACTGAGGCTGTTTAACCCCAAAACTGAAACCCATCTGTATTTTACATCTGATTAGCTTTACACATTGAAATAACACTTAAACACTCAAATTATCCTGCCCTTATCTTTATATATTAGATGCAAACAGGGAGGAAAGTATTTCTAGCTTGAAAAATGAATCACTGTGGTGCACAGAGGTCACCGATGAGGATTATATAAAGAGGAAGTTCTGTATTTAAGCGGATCTGCACGTGATGTTAATTTTTTCCCCAAGTCAGGCAAAAAGAAAATATTCTTGCTTAGTATCAGCCTAACTTTTGTCTAGAAGCAGAGGTCTCGTCTCACCTTTTGACACCCTAATGTTTCACTCCTTGTGTATATTTATGTAGAAAGAAGCATAAGAACAGTTTCTAATTACTGCTGTAAATTACACTGTTTGATGCCTACCTCCTCGCAGCAGTTACAGACATACAAATTGGCTTAATGAGAATTATAAAACATTTTTTCGATTGTCGTGTTAATTTTTGTTGCTCATTAAGATGCATCACTGTTAAAAACTCACACGGGAGCTTTTTAAATAAAATCAGTTATGAGCAAAATAAAGTAGGAAATCGAGTAGTTGTGCAACTTTAATCGTAAAATGATTGTTTTATCATCAATCCTGTTCTATAGTATTTAATCAACAGTAGAGCTTATTCAGTAAGAAGTCAATGCCAAGCTCATTAAACTAATTTGGTTTATTTACATCCGCTTAAAGGGATATTCCAACATAAAATTAAGTTAGGGTCAAACACACCATAACACCAAGTTAGACACCCCCTCCAGAGATGAATGTTGCCGACTGCTTGCTTCTCTAGTTATACCAACTTTAGGGACGACCACAGGATAGCTTGAAGACTCTTTAACTCCTCTTTCAAACCATCTGTCTTCTCTAGCCAACACCTGTACATGGCTGTCCTCGAAAGAGTGACCCGTGTCCTTTAAGTGAAGGTGGACACTAAGGCAAAAGGACTTTCCCGTCTGCAGTGAAAATGATTAATATGGTGATTATTACTTTAAGGAAATGATAAGGAAATGATCATAAATGTTCTTCCTTGAGCTGTGTCACCCCACTGTAGTCTGTAATGGACTGGCCTGAGGTCTCACTACAAACAAGCGGCTGCTGGAAGAGGGTAGGTGAATTGTGTTTAGTCTCTTTGCTAAAGAAATTAGTCATTTGACTAATCTTTTTAACTTTGGTCCAACATTAGCACAAGTACTGTAGCTAACAGTTGGAGAAAAGTACAAACAAGGTTGTTTTTCTTTGACATGCAACAAAGAAGTCTTCATAAGTTGTGAAATGAAAAAAACTCCAAAAAAAAAGATGATAAACAGTACATGTTAATAAAAAAGGTTGAGTTCATGTATTTTTGCTCTACATTTAAGGACGCCATGATGAAGACCTCCATAGAATACACACAAGTTTACTGAGCTTGTTGTTTCAAAAAAAAGATTAATTTATTTTTTATTATATTTGTTTATCTTTATTATTTATGTGGTTGTTTCTGCCATAGACATATATTTATAAACACCTTTCTTATACATATCTGTGGTTTCTGCATGTCGTTGTATGAATGAATAATCGGTCGACTCCATTACATAATCCAGGTTGTTGATTCTTGACCGGTAGCGCCCAACTTCATTAAACCCTCCCACCGGCGGCTCCTATTGGTCCGTCTGAAACGTAAATAAGAATCCCGCCCTCTGATTGGCTGGTTCGCTCTCCTTGTCCGCGGTCGTGTCCCTGTGTTTCATGATAACACTCTCGGTCAGTTGGAGGGGTCGCCTATCTTCGGAGGTCGTGTTCACTGACAGTGAACCTCAGCAGCAATAATAATGAAGTTCGTTCGGTTTATCATGAAAAACGCCGCCTTGGCCAGTGTGCCCAAACATATCGAACATTTCTCCAAATTTTCTCCTTCGCCGCTCTCCATGAAGCAGTTTCTGGATTTCGGTGAGTATTCCTGCTGCTCCATTTCAGACATGTTGAAAATAACTCAAGCTTTCTACATCTTCACAGACATATAGCATGTTTATTTGATTGCATATCCCCAAAATGACCTTGTTGTTATCCCGTTTATCTGCAGTGTGGAGGTTTAGCTGCTGTAGCATGGTGGTGCTCATAGTGCAGAGGATTGCATCAGATCTGTTATAGCAGGACAGGGCTGTACTGTAGGGGCCCTGTGGAGACTATTACAGCTAATATTTCTGGATATTTCATCTTACAGGCTTGCTGACGGATTTATAATCATGTTTTGTGCAATTACTGGAGAGCAAGTCAACATTTTATCTGTAAATGTTTGCTAAAAACAACAAAAATGAGATTTCTAGGAGGTTAAAATGTAGATGGCACTCATTTCTTAGTGTTAAAATGCTTTATTATGATGGTCTATAATGGAATTTTCACTCTGTTTGATAATTTAATCCTATTGTTTGACTCATGTCTTCAAAAATCAAAGATAAGTTTATATTTTCAACTAGTCAGTCAAAAAAAAGAGTCCATAGAGTTTGTAAAGTAGAGTAAACACCAAGTAAGATTCACATAATCAATCAAAAGTATCAGCAGTTATTAGATGATCGATAACGGGCTTTTAAAGGTTAGTATAATAACAAGTAAACAGGTGAGAAAAGGACAAAATCTAATCCTGGTGTCTTGTTATTGTAGTTTTTGCTTGAGTTAAAAGATAAAATAAGAACTTAAATTGATATTTCATTATTTTTGACTTCTCTAGTGTTAAATCAGCGTCTAGATTTCCTTCTAGACATCTTTAATTGTGAGAATAAAAGAAAATACAGGGTTAATATTGAGGTGTTTTACAAAACAATCATAAAACATGAACAATATCATTATTTTAGACCCATTTAAATGTAATAAACATGTTCTTTCTCAGTTTTGGATGGATTTTTGAGCAATATATAAAAAATAAATGCATTAGATTTCTCAATATGGCATGACATGACATGATAATTGTATTCATCATAATATAATGTAGCTTAAACACCAGCCAGGGATAGTTTCAATTGGATAAATTGTCATGTTGGTTGGCTTTGAATATTTTTATGCACACTTTGAAACAGAAAAACTGAGATTTTTTTTTGTTTTACTGCTTAAAATGTGTTTCAAATGTGTTTAAAATGTGTTTCAGTAAAGTTGATCAAACATTTTCAGGTCTAATTTCGACTCTTTTTCCTGCTCCAGGTTCCATAAATGCCTGTGAGAAGACCTCCTTTGTGGTTTTGCGGCAGGAGCTGCCTGTCCGACTGTCAAACATCATGAAGGAAATTAACTTGTTGCCTAACAAACTCCTCACAACCTCGTCTGTGCAAATGGTGCAGAGCTGGTAAGTCAGACCAGGATTTGATCCAAGTTATGTAATTCCTCAGATATGACCTGCACTTCTGATTCAAGAAAAACAAAGAAAGAGAAACTTTCCCTCTCTCCGTTAGCCTCTGTGCTAGCTCATAAAAGCGAAATTTGATGGCAGAAGTCCTCCCATGAGCTCACAGAAGTTGACCGTCACAGCTGTCGGCTTGTTTACTTCCAATTTGTAGTACAGTTTGAGTTTCTCTGTGATAGCGTCAGCCACTAACTGCATAAGCACCCTTTGACCAAGTTGTTCTCCTTCCAGCTGGCTCAGAGCGGGCTGAGGCTCTCAGCGCTGAACTTTACCCTAGTTTCTCCACTCGAGTCACATGACCCTGTTTACTGGAGAGGCTGCACGTCTTCCCTTTTGTTGAGGAATGGCCTAAATTACTCGTACGAGGATTAAGATGAAGCTTTTTTTAGCCACGAACTCTCACCTGAATGCCAGCTGAACTCCTTCTTCTGCGTCACACAACACTGTGTTCTGTTTAAACACGTCTGATCGTTTGTTTTTATTGCAGGTACATTCAGAGTTTAATGGAGATCCTGGAATTCCTGGACAAGAATCCAGATGATCACAGAGTGCTGGGAGAGTGAGTTCCTGTTTTTCCTCGATAGCATCCTTCACAAGATCCTTTTAACACACAATTTTTCATTTAAGACGCTCTTTTTTAAGGGGAGTTTTTAATGTCAGTGAAAAAGACTGATATTTATATTTATGCCATTTTGTGAAAAGACAAACAAGACCATCAGAGGAGCTTTAAAAGACAACTGTCATCTTTTAAAAGTCCTGATTATTCAAAAGTAGATACCAACTCAATCTCACACCCGATATTCCCATTGAAGCTTTTTTTGCCGTAGACGTAGAGAACTAGGGATGGGAATCGAGAACCGGGTCTTGCTGAGAACCGCTTCCAAATGGTTCAATCCATAGACATCGTTTACACTTTATCTTAACAATTCCTTTAATGATTCCTTTCTGGGTGTCTTGTAAGAGCCAGTCTGCGGGAACAAAAACAGAGACTTTAGGGGAAAAAACATGCCGAATGGTACGAAAAGTAGGCAGAAACAAAAAGTGTGGCATCACTTTACTGAGAAAGACGACAACGGGTTTTGTGTGGAAGTTTTAAGTTTGTGCATCATGGACTAACTGAGTTAAAAGCGCATAAAAACATTCAACCCGACCCAAAAAAACCTCTAAATTTTGCGCACGACTCTGCCTCGCGTGTAGTGTCCTCTTTTTGGGGATCCAGAATATAGTCCCCCTAATTTAACTTCATGCTGACCGAAGTAATTGCTGTACAAATAGTTTGTCATTTGAGACTCAATAAAATTTTGAGTTAATGGTGAAAACCTATAGTCTCATTTTTTTTAAATCAAAGGCATTTATAAGGGAATTGTTCAAAAGTTGACTCTCTCACCAAATCAGATTCATGCTGAAGATTCTGGAAAGCTTGCACAGGCGTAGGTGTGCATTTATAGATGACAGTGTCGTCAGCGTAGAAGTGAAAGCAGAGTTAAAGACACTCTGTCAAAAACAATCGATGTAAACAGTAAATAGTAGTGGGCTGAGAACTGATCCTTGTGGCACCTCTTTGACTTTTTCCTGACTGTAGGAGCCATAATGTTGCTTTGCTCATCGGTTATCCTGTGTTCAGTTACTTTTGTCTGGTTGCCATTGGTTTCGCTGGGTTTGGGTCACAGTCCCACCTGTACTGGGGTGGAGAGGTGAGCCTAGGTAGCCGTAATTTCTGTTGACCGCGCTTTATGTTCTTTGTTTTGCAATGATACACATCGCTAAGTATACACATATTATATCGGGTGTGCGAGGTAAATCGTTGCCGACTGTACAAGCGTTTTCACAGCTCCAAAAACTTGCATGAACTGTGGGTGCTTCTATGAAACAGCAGCGGCGTCTCACACAAATATACAGGATCTATTCTCTGCCTCAAGCGACTTTTTTAAAGGTTCTAGGAAAGCTGCAATACTGACGTTTCCTGTTTTTTTATTAACAACCTGGTTTTCTGTGTTTCCATCCTCTGCAGGTTTGTTGACGCCTTGGTCACCATCAGAAACAGGCACAACGACGTCGTCCCGACCATGGCCCAGGGTATCATCGAGTACAAAGAGGCTTTCCCCCAGGATCCAGTCACGAACCAAAACATCCAGTACTTTCTGGACCGCTTCTACATGAGCCGGATCTCCATCCGAATGCTCATCAACCAGCACAGTGAGTCCCCCTCAGAGTCAGACTGAAGTTTGTCCCCGCTCTCTCTCTCTCTCTGTCTCTCTCTCTCTCTCTCTCTCTAACTGTGTGTCGTCTGCGGCGGTGTTTCTGTTTTACTGATCTCGCCCCGCTCTCTGCGTCACCCGCTCGACACCCAGAGGGAACAATAAGTCAAAACATGTCGCCTCACGAACTTTATTGTCACATCAGTGACAAATGATTTCATGTGGGATGTTTTGTTCGCCTGGGGAGCAGCAGGAGTCATGACAGGCTCCACATCATAAAACTCCTGTATCATTATGCAGCATTTGTTACCGAGTCATCGAGACATAAAATCGGATGCAGACTGAAGCTAATGGGATGTAAAATAAGGAGTCTGTTTGTTGCTCCACCCTCCTCTGTTAAAGATGTAACAAATTAAATTAAACTCCTGAATTTCAATATCAGTTTCTCCTGTCGTATCGTGATCGTCAGACGTACAATGACAGTAAATATGAAAAAACTCAGAGATGCATTTCAGATCAAAAACTTCTGGATCTTGATTTTAGTCTGAGACTCTTTTAATCCTTTAAACTGGACTCTATCTGTTTTCTGCAGCTCTAATTTTTGATGGAACCACGAACCCAGTTCACCCAAACACCATCGGGAGCATCGACCCGCACTGTCAGGTCGCAGATGTAGTCCAAGGTACAAACTTTTACATTCAACTTGGATTAAATTAACATAAAACTGTGTATCATTGTCAATTTATACATGTCTTTAAGTTGGATTTGTACTACAATCATGTCATAACCATGCTATGATCGCCTTCATATAGATGCCTACCACAGTGCCAAGATGGTGTGTGACCAGTACTACCTCCGCTCCCCCGACCTCCTCCTCCAGGAGATGAGCAGTAAGCCGACTTTGATTTCATCTTTCAGAGACGTTTTACTGGAAACTCCTGAAGTTCAACTGAAGTTTAAACAAGAGAATTAAATAATGATGAGAAACCAAACAGAGTCAGAGAGCACAGAGTGTGTACATACAGTCCGAGTGTTCAGCCAGGTGGACCTGAGAGCTCTCTAATTATAGCTCTGAAGCAGAAGAAGAAGTGCCTCAATGAGCTCGGCTGGTTGCGTCAGACAATATTGACACACAGACTTTTTTTTTTTTTTCTCCTCCGAACTGTCAGACAATAAACCAGAGGAGAGGGGGCTGTTGGATAACGATGGAAAACATCGACTTTATGAGCAGGGAGGAGATTAGAGACACACTTCCTCGATTCCTCGTCCATGACAGAGTTAAAGGGATGTTCCGGCATAAAACTATTTCAGGGTCAAACACACCGTAGCAATGAGATAGACACCCTTTCGAGAGATGAATGTTGTCGACCGCTTGCTTCTCTAGTTATACCAACTTTAGTAACGACCGCACGATAGCAATACACAGCGGTCTGAGGAGCCATAAACAAACCTCAACCAAAACGCCACTCTATAGCCACAAATAATGCTCAGAACAGCACCTAACTTCATCAACAGGACATATAGGGTCACAGACATAGTCCCCAGGCCAGTCCATTACGGACTGCTGCGGGGTGTCGCAGCTCAAGGAAGAACATTTATGATCATTACTTTATCATTTCCTTCAAGTTATAATCACTTTATTAATCATTTTGCAGACGCGGTAGTTCTTCTGCCTTAGCGTCCCGGTCTGATTGTATTTCCACTCACCTACAAGAGAGTAGGTCAGTTGTGTTTAGTGTTTAATTTTACAAAGTGAAGGACAGGAGGTAAACAGGAGCAGAGTTGTGTTGTTTGTGTGTCAATATTGGCGGATAATTATCACTGCCGACAGGTATGAACATTTCTGCTCAGTATGATCCACCAGTGGGAAAAAAAGGATCTCAGAGTGTTTAAAGCCTGTTTCTAAAAACTGTCTCAATAAGAGTAAAAGGTAATTTATATTGCATATATATACGCAACCTTTATCGGTAACATAAGATTGAAAATATCAGATAAAATCCAATATGGTGCGTCTCTTATTCCTGACCTGGTCTGATCCATGAGTGTTGAAGAAAATCTGTTTGAAATGAAGCAGCTGATTCTATTTTTACTTCTGTCTTTGCAGGTAATAAGAAGAACCTCCCAGTCAGCATCGTGTATGTGCCCTCTCACCTTTACCACATGCTGTTCGAGCTCTTTAAGGTACGAAACCTCCTGTTTTTTTTTTTCAATCTTATTCTAATTAAAGTGATCAATATGTTTTTTTAACTGATCGATGCTTTCCTTCTGTCAGAACGCGATGAGAGCAACAACCTTCCTCCAGTCCAGGTCCTGGTGTCTCTGGGAGGCGAGGACTTGTCAATCAGGGTGAGCGGAAACATCTTTTACTCTTCCTCGTAGGTTTTTTTTTGTTCCCTCAGGCCTTTGTTTGGTTTGTGAGTTTGTGTTTGTGAAGGTAACACAAACCCTCCCACTATGAGGAGGACAATAGAGCTGAACAGCCTGTAGGAGTGAGTGGAAGTGGGGGTGTGTTTTTACGTCTGTTAGCTCTCTGTGGACCAGTTCGACAAGTTTAATGGAGCCTGTGATGATGAAGTTATCGCGCTGGATTAAACCTCCTCACTGCAGATTCAGATTAGCTTAATGTTACATAACGTAACGATACGGCTTTTAAAGCTAATAGTTACACAGTCTTTTATCGTTGTTTCCGCTCAGATCGGCTCAACTTTCTAAGAAACACCTTCACCCTTCATTAACTGGAGAGCTTATTAGCAGGCGGAGCGACTTAACGCTGATAAGATTAAAAACAAAGACTTTGTACCCTCATAAACCTGGTCCCAGAGCTCATGTTTTACAACCACACTCTGCTGATAAACTTTTGTCGAACTTAAACTTCCACTGATCAGCGTTTATATCCAGAAAGGATTAGATTAATGTGTGTAGTCTGAAACTAAAATGAGGATTTAAAAAACCCAGAAAGTCCATCACATCTGAGTTCATCAGGTCTGCTCTATTACATCAGGTTGTATCATAAGTCACAAACATTCACAGGTTATCTCTTAAAGTTTTGGGTAAAACTGAACCGTGTTCTCTGATGACCTTTTTTTTATGACGGCAGCGTCTGTTTTTAAAATAAAACCAACACAGTTCAGCATCTTCAGCGCCATATGGACATGTCATCTCCGAGGCGTCTGATGCTGAGTTTGAAGTCTATCAGCTGTAGTCGCCATGTTGTAAAAGGTCAAAGAGGAGGTGATGAGTCTAGTCAGCTGTCATTTGTAACGCTGCAAAACTTTAATATCTTCAAAACAAAAATTCACCTCTTGAATGAACTTTTCAGACTGAGACGGTTTGTTGAACATGTCTGTGAACACGTCTGTTTTTGCTCTGATCGTTAACTTTTTTGAATGAGTGTGTATGTGGTTCTCTGCGCTTTTGCAGTTAGCCTCAAGTGGACACTTTTGGAACTGCAGTTTTTGGAACTTGCTTATTGGTTTAATTCAAAACTGGGGGGTTATTTTTGCAAAGACTTCTGTAGTTTTACTTCATTTCACCAAAGCGAAAAATGAAAAGGATGTAAAATACAGTTTGCAACCTCCACATTCAAGAACAGCTGCATTGTGCATCAAATTAAACCCTCTTTTAGCTGTCTTCAAATGTCTGCAGTCCTCCTCCTCCAGTCCAAGCAGCTGGGGTCACACCCAAACTATGCAACAAGTCCCATCAGAGTTACATAACTTAAAAGTATTTCAGTGTTGAAATCAGTAGTATTATAGCGAGTTAGGCAATGAAATGAAGTGACACTGCAGTATGTTTCCTCTAAATGCAGGATTATTATATAACGAATGAAAAAGGTTGACTAAAAAAAATTTATCTGGCAGTCGTCAGGCCCAGTGCTTCCCCTTTACAATGCATTATGGGATACCTGGTAGTAACTTCTTCTAGCAGAAACTGTAGCTGTTGTAGCTCCTGTTTGGTCTGTCTACTCATAGTTTAGCTGTTTGGTTCAGAAAAACTCAGAAAGAAGGTATTTCAGCAAAAAGAATCAAAATGATGAAAAGTTAGTCGAGATAAAACAAAGTGACTATTGGATTCAGATTCATGAGACGGACACAAACAGGTCTTTAAACATGGATTAATGTCTGTTGAGGTCGGCTGGAGGTGTAATTAAGCTGCTTTTGTGCAAAGATGTTAAGTTTAAAGACTAAAACTCATGACTCACTTCAAAATGAAAAGACCTCTGGAGCTAAAGAGATGTAATTAAAGAATAACATGATGGAATAAGTACAGAGAGTATGCTGAGGAGGAAATCTAGGCTGTGATTTAGAGGATAATCCAGATTATCGACCTTTTTGTTGCAGCTCTGAATCAGCTTCTTCTTTTTCTGTTCTCGTCAAGTTTCAGTTTTTGCATGAGCAGGTTTATCATTACAATAAGTCCAGTAAACACGCGGCCCCTCAGCTGCTTTTTTCCAGTCAAGGCCGGGTGTGGATGACAGGCGGGCCCTCGTCCACTCAGCACATTTCAAGGACCTCTCATGACTCTCTCTCTGTTTCTGCTGTCGTCTGCAGGTGAGCGACAAAGGAGGCGGTGTCCCCTTTCGGAGGATCGAGAACCTTTTCAGCTACATGTACTCCACCGCTCCGGCTCCTCAGATCGGAGAGCACTCACGGCCTCCGCTGGTATGTACAGGGACTGTTTTCGAGGTGCCAAGATGTAAATGATTATCCTGATTTCACTCCTACTCAGCAGCTGCAGAGGCGCATGTCATTTGGTTTGTACAGACGCTACACTGCTCATTTTGATGCTTTCTGTTTCTCTATATGAAGATTGAGGTTAATATTTCCTCAAATGTAATGAGCAAAACACCAAATAGAAGAAATGCAACATGACAAAAGCCTCATTTGTTCCGAGGATGAGCTCTGTTTGAGTACAAAGCCTTTTAAACCCTCCATCCTCTGCGTGTCTCTGCAGGCTGGCTTCGGCTACGGGCTGCCCATCTCCCGACTCTACGCCAAGTACTTCCAGGGGGACCTGCAGCTCTACTCCATGGAGGGCCACGGCACAGACGCCGTCATCTATTTGAAGGTGAGTCAGACGGAGTGATCGGAGTCAAATGCAACGAGAGCTAACACTTAATTGTACCTGGAAGGGCTGAGGTTTGAAACAAAAATTTAGGTGTGAGGATTCTTATGATTGCTTCTTGTCCTTAAAGGCGCTGTCCACAGACTCCATCGAGAGGCTGCCGGTGTACAACAAAGCCGCTCTGAAGAACTACAAAGTGAGCCAGGAGGCCGACGACTGGTGCATACCCAGCAAAGAGCCTCTGGATCTGAGCAACTACAAGGTGGCCAAGTGAGAGTCAAACAGGCCGACGACGTACGTTCAGTGACGCCTTTGGATTATCTGACTCCAGCTGAGGCAAGTGTGAGCTACAGACAGTTTTCTCCTGAGAAGATCACCTCCAGACAAAAAAAAAAGACACCCTGTCCTTGACATTTCAGTCTGGATTTAGCGGTAGCATGTTATTTTCATCCCTCGTCGTACTTTTGGGTTCATCATAAGAAAATAGGAAGCAGCTACTAACAGAGAATACTTGTTAAAACACCCGGGGGGACATCTCAGAAGTTGCAGCAGCAGCGGGGAGTTTGTGTGCGAGGACATGCAGACTGAAGATGTGTGCAAGTAGAGAGAGGAGACATCGAGCATGATTTGTGTTGTGGTTAAAAAAAAAGAGGGAGTATGAGCGGACAGATGCAGAGAAAAGGTGTTCAGACCAAAAGAGAGGCTGGATGTTTGTGTGATGCACAAACTCAGATTTGCAAAAGATTTTGTTAGCAGGTACTAAAAGTGCTTCACTTATAGTCTGCCCAAACCTCATTCAAAAAAGGAGCGTTTAAAAGTTTTTTCTTGTCTTGTTGAGGACAAACCCGACAAAGATCTAATTGTTAGTTTTGTTCTAGTCTGCAACCTGATGGTGTGATTTCGGCATCCTTTTCCGCAACTAAATCTCAATAAAATCTGATTTATTTTGAGTTCAAACAACTGCAGTGAATGAAAATGCAGTTTAGACTGCACAAAGCAGCTCCCGCTCATCAGAGAGTGACGGACAGGCGCCCTGCGGTTGAAACAGGATGATGATACTTGATGTCCTGATACGGAGCTGTGCAGACTCTGACCAAGTTCAAGAGGTCACCACATCTGCAGCGGTCAGCCTCAAAAAGCTGCAAGTGACGGCTAAATTAATCTGGAGACACTTACAGAAGGGGGGGTGCGCACTTTTAATGAATCCTTTGGTCTGGAAAAACACATTTCACTCAGATGAACATAAGGAGAAATTATGTTTTTCTTTTGGTCTAAGCACAAAAATGAGGTGTTAAAATGTTCAAATTATAGGAAAGATCAAAAGAACGGGTGTTTGAGGAGCGCCATATGGAGGTTTCCAGTGTAACAGGAGGGAGCCTGTTATTAAAAGAGGACCAGATTTTATTATCTGTAGGAAATGTCACCCAAGCCCTACAGTAGCGACTTCACCCAAAGGCTCATTTCATAAAAATACTTGAACTATTAAATCAATCCTCGTGTTGCACCTTGTGAAAACTGAAGTACTGTAAAACTGAGAGGTGTGTAGATTGGAACAAATGTGTGGCTGAGTGTTTTTGTGCTTTCTGCATGGATATGTGTCGGCAATTTTTGATGTTTCAGCCTTTAAAAAATGTAATCCCAGTGTTGGCAGCGACTGATAAGATACAATGTTATCTTAGCATCAGATTCCTGGACCAGGCTGAATGTATTCTGCTCTTTTCTTTGCATTAATTTGCATTAAAGACGAAGAGTGTTGCATTAGAGAAAGAACAATGTATAGGACCGGAGTTCTCTCTGATGTACCAACAGAGCATTTTCTACGCTTGTGCGGAGGTTTAACGCTTTTAGCTGAGTTCGGTGGAAGCCAGTGTTATTAAACCCCAGAGGGCAGTGCATGTCATGTTTCAGTTCTCTAACGGTCTGTGATCCAGCGAGGCGAAGGCCAGTCTCAGCTTTTTTATTGTTATTACACTGTGCCATAGGAGGAGGAAAAAGCCCCGGGTCCATGTGTGTTCAACACAATTTTCTTTTGTATTAAATTTATCTTCATCATACAGAGTGTGAGAGCTTATTTTTATAGCTTTATAGTGACTGAAATGATTGTACATACTGTAAATACAATAAAGACAAAATAAAAGGAACAAATTCAGTACAAATGCCTCTCTTGTGTTTGTTTAAAGGTATTTAGGGTTCGGAATCGAGAACCGGTTCCAAATGGTTCAATCCATCAACATCATTTACATTTTATCTTAACGATTCCTTGCTTCCAGTCTTGCAAGAGCCAGTCCACACGAACGAGAACAGAGACTTAGAGGAAAAAACATGGCGGTACGAAAAGTAGGCAGAAACGATCCAAATTGATCGACGACAACGGCGCGATGTGCAACTTTGTCAAGCAGTGAAAACACACAAAGGTGTGAACAACATGCTTAAACATTGGTCAACGGGTCGTGGTTTCAAATATAAGGAGTCACACGTATTCGATGCTTTCCGCCGGTCGTCAGTCGCTGCTGTGACTGATGGCAGGTACGTTAGGGTGACCATTGGTCCTCTTTTACTTGGACATGTCCTCTTTCTGTGGGGCTGTCCGGCATTGACCAGGGGAGTTTATAACATCCTTCAAATGTTCGGGGTTTTGTATGGAAGTTTTGAATTTGTGTAGCATGGACTAATTGAGTTAGAAGCGCGTAAAAAACACACGATCCGACCCAAAAAACTCAAAAATTTGTGTGCCACTCCGCCCCGTGTCCTCGTGTCCTCTTTTTGGGATCCAGAATATGGTCACCCTAATTTGACTTACTACTGACCAAAGTAAATGCTGTACAAATAGTGATTATTTTTAGACTCACATCTTTTTCTGTTATCAGAGACTCAATAAATACATCTATGTTTTACTTGACATCTTATTGGAGAAGTTTGTACCTGTGATGATAAGAACTTGACGAGATCATGTTCTGCGGCCCTGTGTTCACCAGACCCTTTGGCTTGATTAAAAAAAGAGCAGCTCCATAATCAGCCAAAGAAGTATTTATAAATGTTAAAGCTTCCTCCTCCTCTTCCTGGCCCATGCTCCCTTTACGTCACTTTCATTCCTGAAAATGTCAATGCAGATCATGCTTCTTTAAATCTGCCCTGAAACCAAGAAGACAGCAGCCATGACAAGATGAGGACAAGTCACGGTCCCGGAGTCACTTGGGATCGGGAGCATGTGAGTGTTTGAGATGGTAAGAGTCTAATTATAGACGCCTGGCACATATCTGTGGTCTATATAAAACACAAAAGAGGTATGCATGTCATTTTTAGAATCTTAGTAAGTTAAAAACAGGAGTTTTATTCTGTAGGTTTGCAGTTATTTGTGTTATAAGTGGATTTATTTTGCAAGTGTAGGACCTTGTATCCCAAAAGTTGATCTTCATGATTACAATACAATCAATCAAATCACAAATACCCATTTCTACTGATGTTCACATACATCTACATCACCGTTCCTGCAATGAAACTTCCTGAAGGAAAATTTTGCCTTATGAGTTTATTGTCATGCTTTTATTTTGATATTTAATCTGTCTTGCCTTTCTTTTTAAACTTGATTGAACAGCTTTCAAAGGGCTACAACATTTGGTATACAAAAAATACTATGAATACAGCATATACTGAATTTAAAAAAGGAATACTACATGTGAGTCCAAGTTGAGTTGAGAACACAAAAAGGTTTTTTTTGTTTTTTAGTACAGACTCATTTCTTTCAGATATCATCTTACCTGCAATACAAAATCATAGTTTTATTTTGAAGTACACTTACTTATAGTAGCTTATAACCTATGGAACAAAAAAAAAGTTAAGGAAAATTAGAAAGTAAGAATTTCCAATTAATTATGTTCTATGTCTTGTTTTAAGGTTTTGGGAAAGAATCCCGTCTCCCCTAAATTGCCCTACTTGGGTCGGCGGGGAGCGGGGAATGCACGGGCCTTCGCCCACTGGACACGCTCCCCCGGTCCCAGAAAGACACTTATTTGTGTTATGAATTAAATTGTGTTTAATAAATTAGTTTTAGTGTGTTGTGTAATTCATATTTGTTAAATTAATCCATTTTTTTAGGTTTTTAACTGTTGTTTACACACAAACACACAAACAAACAAACAAACATGAACAATACTTGAACTATATATATGATGTGTGCACCGCGACGACGTTTCGACCTAGTTTGGTCTTCATCAGGTCTATGCACACATAATGGCTGCTGGGCCCCAATTCATAGGGGTTCACCCAGCAAGCAGCCAAAAGAAAATGAATTTTCCCTGTCCTGTTTTCCCTTTTATACCCTTTGGACAAGAAATTAACTGAATTTCTCTCGGATATTTAGTTTAAATTCAACTTTATTTAGTTTGTAAAATGTTAACCCTTTAATCGCTGTTTGGTTTTTAATTCTGAATAATATATTTATATTTCTCCTGTGGTTAGGCTTAAACTGACCCGTAGGGTTAGGGTTAGGGTTCGAATCCGAGGGTTAGGGTTAGGGTTAGGGGTTAGGGTTAGGGGTTAGGGTTAGTGGTTAGGGGGTTAGGGTTAGGGGTTAGGGGTTAGGGTTAGGGTTAGGTGTGGGTAAGAGATACAGTGATAGCCCCCGCTTTCGTCTGTTGACTTGGCGGTTTTGGGTAGGCTAATCAAGGGCTTGCACTGGCCGTCGCATGTCGACCTGTCACATGTTCCCAGTCGAGTCTCCGAGCTCAATCTGTGTGTAAAAAACTATGTGTGGGTAGGAAGTTAGGGTTAGGGTTAGGGTTAGGTTTGGGGAAATAATCCCGTCTCCCCTAGATTGCCCTATTTGGGTCGGCGGGGAGCGGGGAATGCACTGGCCTTCGCCCAGCGGACACGCTCCCCTGGTCCCAGGAGAACACAGACTTGTGTTATGAATTAAATTTTGTTTAATAAATTAGTTTTAGTGTGTTGTGTAATTCATATTTGTTAAATTAATCCATTTTTTTAGGTTTTTACTGTTGTTTACCCACAAACACACAAACAAACAAACAAACAAACTATACATGAACACACTTGAACTATGTATATGATGTGTGCACCGCGACGACGTTTCGACCTAGTTTGGTCTTCTTCAGGTCTATGCACACACAGCTTTCATAGCTGCTGGGCCCCAGTTCATAGGGGTTTACCCAGCGAGCATCAGAATGAAAATGAAAATTCCCTGTCCTGTTTTCCCTTTTATACCCTTTGGTGAAGAAAATAACTGATTTTCTCTCGGATATTTAGTTTAACTTCAACTCTATTTAGTTTGTAGATGTTAACCCTTTAAATGCTGTTTGTTTTTTAATCTGAATAATATATTTATATTTCTCCTGTGGTTAGGCTTAA